ATAGGAACTCACTCAGAAAGTTGAAGTTCAACCCAAATACTTTGAAATAAGAAAAGAAGAACTAAAAAACGGATGCAAATTTACGGCATTAAAGGTTAGTAGGCTCTTTTGACCTGTGTTAATCATAGCAATATGTACATCAGTAGAGTCTAATTCCTCCTTGAAATCGTCACCCAGTGGAGTTAATTTTACTTGATTGGTCAGGGATTTCCAGTCGTTGTCCACTCCATATGAGATTCCTGATTGCAAACGTATTTTGTTCACAACTGGTTTGGACAGAATTTGCCGGTGGCCGCGCAAAGTGACAGCTAGGACTTATACTGGAAGCCCTATGTTCCTCTAGGAACTAAAGGATACAATAATAATAATAATGATATCCTGGAAGTAGAGAAACGGCTAGAAAGGCAGACACCCAATTGATCCAAGCCTTCTATCCTCAACCAATAAGACTGAATCTGATGACAAGTTGAGAATAACAACAGAACGAACGTAAGAGCGAGTGAGTGAAGGGATTGTTAGGAAACTCCAATCTAGATGGCTGACTAACACGGATAGAAATTACCTTCAAGTGTATTATCTATCCAACGGGCTTGGAAGTGCGGCATAAGTTCTGTCGCTCCCATAGGTGAGGATAAAGGAAGGTGGTGTGGCGTTATCTTTTTGTAAAGATTCATTATTTTTATGACTGGTCGACTGAAGGTCATTCACTCCTTCCCGTCGTTTGGTCGCTATTGTTGAACTTTGCCGGCGGTATATTCAGACTCAAGGGTATGATGGGTTCCCGCGTCAACTGGTCATATGTTTTCGTGATTTAGTTCGCCATCGAAATTCACAGGTTTTTTTGATGTTTTGCATATTATAAATCTGTCAATGTTAGTTTCTGCAACTGGATGTTATTATGAGCGTATATATATTTCGAAGTTCCCAGTTAATAATATGATACGCAGTACCAATTAGCGTTTTTTTTCGACGCGCATTGCATATTTTTTGGGGCAGACTCAGGGACACTGTCCCACGTATGTTTATTCCTCATAAGTTTTCGTCCCAAAGTCTGCAGTGCGCTCGAAAATAATGCTAGCTGGTGTCGAGCAGTTTTCCGTTCGAAATTGGTAAGAGTGCGATTTTTTCGTTTGCAATGTGGAAAAAGTTGGTAAAATTGTAAGAATTGGAACAATATAATACTTCAGCTAATAACATATTTGGGCCCAAATATAAAATTTCTACGCTGTGGACTTAAATTCATAGGCCAACATATTGACCTCATTGATGCATATTGCAGTCCTGACTGTAGTGCAGATGACTACTTAAATAGAGAAGCTATGCTCCTGGACATCAAAGTGTCGAAGTCTCGTGATCGTGGACTTCAAAGCCCCAACACTTTCCTGGAAAAGACTTACAACGCAGTCTTCAGACAACTCCTTTGACCGTGAACTGCTGTAATCTAGCATTTCGCTAGCCCTATTCCAACATGTCATTAATCCCACGCGCTATGACTCACAGCACTCCTCCTCAACTCTGAACTTAGTGTCTTAGAGGCTGACAATAATGACGTTCGCTATTTGTACGGAATATATTAGCGCAAGATATTATATTAACAACTTCTATAGTATTCATTTCTCGTGGACCAAAGGCAAAACAAAACAACGGGATTGGTTGTCCAAATTACGGGATATATTTCAGGACCAAAACGGGTTGCTAGACGAATGCTTAGCTGGCTAGTGATCGTGCACGAAAGTGACACGATGGAGTACCAAATGGCGAGACTGCTTGACCAGAAGCCTTCAGCTAAACAAGTCAACTTAAACACTAAGAGTCAGCATCTAATGTTCAGTGATGATTCCTGTGGTCAATAATTTTGGAGAATTATTCACCGCTACAGTGTTCTTCCACGGTGAGGATGTGGATCTCATACAACATCTTCCTCCTTTAGGAAGAAGTGATCATGCTGTGCTCACTTTCAAGTGCTCAGCAACAGCAGCAATGGCCGAAACCCCAGCTCGACCAAACGTTTGGAAAGCTGATATAAATGCGATCACCTCAGCAGCCAACTCAGTGAGCTGGTACACCAACCCAGAGCTCTAAGTAGAAGCCTCATGGAACCAATTCGAAGCGCATCTTGCTCAAAATGCAAAGGCACAACCTAAGAAAATTTTCTCGTAAGTGAACTTCAGGAGTAAAACATCTAACGGTGTCCTAAACCTAACTATTTACAATGGCACAATCGAAGAAGATCAAGAAAAAGCAGGAGCAATGGCAGACTACTTCTCCCAAGTCTTTATACAGGAGTCGTCACTCCCTATCAGGTCAGCTCTGGCTGCATCAGGGGTACACGGAATAGATACCGCTGACGACAACCAAAACATCGTGCTCAACTGCCTAATGAAACCAAATGCAGGGAAATCAATGAGTCCTGATAATCCCCATTCAAGGTTTTCCAAGGAGCTATCAGCTCACATACCCGGTCCCGTTACCACGATCTTCAAGCTATCTCTCCTAAATGAAGTGTTACCACGTGACTGGAAAGACGCCATAGTAACCCCCATCCACAAAGGAGGATCAAGACAAAGCCCTTCAAACTACAGGCCTATCAGTCTCACCAGTACTTCAATCAAGACACTGGAAAAAATCGTCTAGTATCATGGCACATCTGGAAATCAACAATTTGGTATCCGGAGCACAGCATGGCTTCCAAAGTAACCTCTCATACCTGTCGAATCTCCTCACTGCAAGAGAAGGCTGGGTCGAATTGACGGACAACAGAAGACTCGCTGACGTCGTCTTCATAGACTTCAGCAAAGCCTTCGATAAAGTTCCTCATGAAGTTGGAAAGTCTTGGTATCAAGGGAAGGTTACTGAACTGGCTCAGGGGATTCCTCATAGATAGGAGGCAGAGAGTTAGGATCAACTCGGAACTCTCCTCCTGGACGCCAGTGCGTAGCGGAATGCCACAAGGCACGGTACTCGGACCTCTCATATTTATTTTGTTTATCAATGGGATTCCCCAATGATCCTATACGCATATGACTTAAAATTTGGAGACAGCTGAAGTGCAACAGTGATATGCTCGCGTTGGAAGAGGACCTCAACAAATTGTCAGAATGGTCAAAATGTACAACTATGCGGATCTAACAAGCAAGCATCAGCTCCTACGAACTAGGGGGAATAACACTCCCATCAGTTCAGACTCATTTGGATTTAGGTATCACAGCTAGTCACAATTTAAAAACTAAAAACCACCGTCGCGTGGTGTCTGCACGCAGTTTGAGATCCTTATGGGAAATTCTCAGAGCCTTTACTAGAATCACCAGAGATATGTTCACCTTATATACATCTCTGCTGAGGTCAAGACTAGAAAAAAGTATCCAGGCAGCCAGTCCTTGTCTTAAAGGGGACTCACATATTCTAGAAAGGGTCCAGAGGAAGGCAACACGTATGATTATCGGCATGACTAATTTATCATACGAGGAAAGACTAGACAGTTTAAATCTCTTCTTCCTGTCAAACAGTAGGCAGAGATGAGATTTAATCACAACGTTTAAAATTTTAAATCATCACTACGGTCCTGACCTATTCTCTCTTTTCCTTCCCACCAGGTCGGAACTCCCTCGAGGACATAGCGGAAGAGTTCAAAATCCAGGAAGAAATCACATCGAGTCACAAACTTTCGGGACCGACTCCCAGAAGAAGTGTCTGCACCCTCAACTGATCCATTCATAAGAGTTCGGAAACCACAAAATATACTTGAAAAGGAATAACATAGGCCGCAAACCTTTTATCCTCAACCAATAAATCTGAAATATGCAAACGGGAAAGAGTGGCCAGTATAGGTAAAGTGGGTTAATTATGTTATATATATCCAAAAGAAGTTCACTTTTAACAGTTTGAAAAAATTTGGGCACTGGGTATATGATATTCATTATAATAAAAGTTTTTTTATTTCCCAATGAATGAAAAACAAAACAATGTTGTTTTTACCGACGTTTCGCTATTTAATGCTAATAGCTTTCTCAAAGTATTATGTAGCAGTTCAACCCCTTTTGTCCACGTCTTTGCGATCAAAATTATGCTTTAGCCCATGTTTTGTCCACATTGCCCAGGTGCATTTACTGACTGAGTAGTTAATAATTATGGTAATCCTGAAATCATTGAGTTAATTCTCGTATACTAGGCTAGGATAGTAAACTGTTCATGGCACAAAACGAAATTTAATTGCAGTATAGTTTAGGCGTTGGGACAGAATACGTGAGGAAATCCATCAGGCTAACAAGGCAACTTCTTAGCTCCAAATAAGCATTCAGAAACATGCTGCTTGGTCGCGGTGTCAAGCAGGAGACACGCAGAAAGTTGTCCGTGGTGTTTTACTGACGTTTTCACCTCTCGCCATTTGTCAGAATATCTAAGGGTAACATTTAAGGAAAGGGAATGTACCACAGCTTAGATATGAGTCCAAGAAAGCCTCAGCGACATGCACACATGGAAAATTATATGCGCAGTCGATTCAATATAAACCTTTGAAAGTCTAAACCTACTTTTTCGTAGCATAATGTTTGAGATGCTGTAGCAAGTTATGCTCTCAGGAAAAATAATAAATTATCTTGATGCTTACATCGTAACTGCAATATCTGCATAGCATCCACTGGCCCTCACATAATTTACGTATAGTTGTGTGGTCAGTCCACCTCCATATTTTCCATAGTGTCAGTTCCAGTTGATCGCCTTCACACCAATTCATTTTCAACTACCTGTGAGCATTCTTCACCCTGTCATTAGTATTGTTCGCCATGCTGACAGTGAACTGGTTGCACGATGCAGCCCAATATTTTCGAGTTCTTAGCCAGTACCTTCTGATGTAGGCACCAGCTTCAGCATCTGTCATACCTATGAAGTTTAAACAACTCCAAAACTGTTTGCAATACATTGTTAATTGTTAACCTACCTGTAATAAGTGCGCTTGTGAGCCATTTGACATAACCACTTCTTAACACGTTGCTTTGGGAACTGTTTTAGTCATGTTCACTAATGAGAACGAAACTTACTTTCCGTTTGAACACCCGACATACACGGAAAAGGGATAAAACAGTTTTGCATCGGGGAAATTTCTCCTTCAGAGCATTCATCTGTGCAGCTTCACAGTTGACAGTGAATGTGACCGTTTTGGATGTATCAGTCATAAATCTCCGAAATGTTTGGAAGATCTCTTTGATATCTGCAAACCTTTCCATCCTAGTAAGGGCAAAAGAACAGTCCTTTCCCTTCCAAGTCTATCAGTCACAACAAACTGATGAAAAGACCATCTATGATAATTTAGAAAAAGAAATGAACCTTCTTGTACTGTCACTTGCCTTATCCTATTCGTTTTATAAGTACAATTAAATCCAACTACTTCTGGAAACTTATGATATAGGTCGATCATATAATTACTAGTGAAAATGATTTTTTGGACGAAACCTTCATTGTCATGCAGAATATTAACTTGACCTGTCTGCATCAACCCATGAAGCAGATCTTGTAAACTACTGATTTCTCTTTCACTGTCACATTTATTTTGATATGACTTGTGTTTATTAATTCTAGTTCGCATATTTTTAATGTCATCATATAAGATAACTCTGCCGAATATCTCATGTGCTAAATCCATTATTTCATGAACTTCAGTGTTCCTTTCAATAAGTGGTTGCACAACTGTCAGTTCCTCTTATGACAGTCAACATCTGGATGAGTCAGCAGACATGAAACTTTCCGTGAATAGATGGTTATGCACAGTTTATTATTTTGTTACCTTGTATCCTTCATCTTAATACCGTATTATAAATCTCGACCCACATGAAACACTTTAGGACCTGATATGTTTCAAAATTTACATGCATGGCCAACTTATGGGTAAATTTTGTTTTGATAAAATCTCACAGTGTTATACAGTAACGTTTACTGATGAAGTTTCGAGCACAATTTATTGCTCATAATCATATCAAGGTAATCACACGACTTCCTAACTTCATTTGTATGGTTCCATTGTTTTTCATTTGATTTGATTGGTAATAGTATTTTCTATATTTCGGGTATGATTGATGAATCACTTCTATTGCATGTGTTGGGTGTAGACTCGAAGAACAAGGATTCAGTAACCAACCTCTCTCTCCACCTACATAGATTACTTTTTAGAATTTTAACCCTCCCACCCTATTGTGTGGTTGTGTGTTAATGCATGCATTGCGATTGCTGAGCTTTTTTCTAAATTACTTATCTTCTCGGGGTCAACCATTCTTACCTTAGCTAAATTCTTATGTTCTGACAATCTGGCTACCCCTGACCTACTAGTTTGACCTATGTAGTTGACCTCACAGTCACTGCAGGGTATTTTGTACCCCCAGGTTTTCCAATGGTTCTCTACCTAATGTCAGCTCATAATGAAATCCTGTAACCAATCAACCAAATCCCTACAAACCAATACTTGAATAAATTATTATGTCTAATTGGGTCAACTGGGTTCATCACTCATACCCGAAATATAGAAAATACTATTACCAATCAATTCAAGTCAAAAACAATGGAACTATATAAATGAATTTAGGAAGTCGTGTGATTACCTTGATATGATTATGAGCAATAAATTGTGCTTGAAACTTCATCAGTAAACGTTACTGTATAACACTGTGAGACTTTATCAAAACAAAATTTACCCATAATGGAATTACACCCTACCACAGTGCACAAGTTTTATTCTTATATCCATGGCCAACTTACCCTTTTTTTCTCAAGCCAGCACCTCTAGCAGTACTATAACCTCCAAAAGTACATTCATAATTCACATACTCATATATCATAAGGCTGGATCTGTCCTTTTCGTAACTTGAATCAACCAGGTAGGATGTCTTTCATTCCTTCCTAAAATAAGGTTTGAGTTAGTTATTACCATCATAAATTCATCAATAGCTTCCTTAAATTCTACCCGCTTGGACCGATGTGCAGCAGTTCGAGTCTCCACACTCCATGTAGCACAAAAAGCAAGAGAAGAAAGTAAAAAGAAATGCAAAATAGAGACAGTAAACAGAGATACGAGGAAAAAAGAATAGTAATATGGAAGAACAATATAGTTTTACTGGATATAATAAATCACAAGGAGTGAATGCATCTGCCCTATGCATTGAGAACGATTTTCAGGCATATCACCAATTGTCTCCAGCCACTGGTTTTTATCGTCCTGAGGACACCAACCAGTCAGGAAGTCTACACCTCCCTACGTGATTGGCTTGAACTAACTGTTGTGGATTTCACTGACTGATGAGGCCATGTTTTGGTTTGACCACCACTGGTTCTTTTCCAACCTGACCTTATGTCACCTAACACTGCCCGTCGAGGAAGGCGATGGCTGGGCATACGTCGCACATGTCCTAACCATCTCAATCAATGGGGCTTCACAGCCTCATCTATTGATTTCACATCTTTACCTAGCACACAACGCCTAATCTCGATACTGTGCACTGTATTATATCACTTCACACAGGAGACAGAACGCAGGCACCTATGATTAAAAACAGCTAGGCTTTTCATGTGTAAAATGCGTGTAAAATATCCAAGAAGGTATTGTTCTTTGGAATATACCCGTTACTTCGGACAACATTTATGAAACATTTCGTGAAGTAGAGGCAATAGGAGTATTTTGAAACATAATGTAATGGCGTTAACAGTACCTAATGAATACAACACAATGATTTTAAGCAAATGCATAGTAGTATATGCTTCAGTGCTTATATACCACTGACGTGACCTAGTAAATTGTAGTTGAATTATATTCAACTAGAAAGCATAAATCGCATAAGTCACTGAAAGCTATTGTGATTTATTCCCGCGTTATTGTGTTCATGCCCAGAGAGGCATTATAAGCAATTATTTTCGTGAAAATGCAAAATGTTTAATTAGCTTTAGACTTCTGTAGTCGAAAAAAGCAATATCCCTTCCTAATATGTTCATACTACTGCATTAAAGTGTTTTGAAATGCTGTTTGAATCAATACATAGAAAGGAATGAACTAAGAGAAATTATGCATATAAATTACTTTTATTTTTGCTTGGGAGCCTCAAGGATCTGTTATTTGCCAGTCGTTTGTGATGTCCGGGTTGTAAATTTACTACAGCTATGGAAGTTATTCTATTAGATTCAGGCTTTTGATGGAGAATAAACCCACAGATATGAGTTAGATATCTGTTATGAGGTTGGTAAGTTTTTTATGTTCACTCTAAGTGAACGAACTCGTTCATGACACATCGAAGAAATCATGTTATAAATGAGACAAGCGGTTGAATTTTGCAACGATAATGTCAATTTTGATGTTTACAACTAAAATTGTACAACTGAAGACATAATACGAGTGAAATTTACATTGTTACGTGAAATTTTGGGAGACCGAAACTGTTTGCTGCATCAAATGGTATCAACTTATTTTCATAACACTGCATTGACACTAGGAGAATACTACTGATGGTCCTTCTGAAACGTAACACTACTTGCAGTTAGTATTACCCTTCTGTTGATTAGCAGCTTGAGGCTGCACCCTACCATTAGTACATCTATTACATAAGTTATGTCAGTCCTAATAATCATTCATTTTCAGATAATCAAGGAATTCTGAGCTCCTTCAGGAATTATCTGTGGTTATGAAGGATATAGAAATTGTACTTATAACTCATATTTTTTAACCATTTATTATTAAACAGCTTATCTAGAGAAACTTAGTAATGTTCAGCTTAAAATGCTTAAGCATATGCAGTTACTGCATGCTATTATCTGTGAAGCGACAGTTGACAGCTTCCTATCAAATCAATAGGAATCCTGCAAATTGTTGATGAGAAACTTCGTCAAAAGAAATACTTTGAACAGATAAAAAGAAGTGTTACTCCAGTTTCTACCCTTCATATACTAACCAAGATATGTGCTTGCTTCTTGAAGCATCGGCCAATTGCTTGTATATATTATTCTAGGTGAGGCCTAAACTGATTATCGAATATGCATTAACTGCTCACATTATAGTAACTGATGTAGGACGAAATCCATCAGTCAAATTTGCAACGTGGTTACCAAGCTAGGCGACTCGCCGTAGCGGTGGTTGGTAATACTCATCAGGATGCCTTTGATATGAGTTTCGTGCCTGTCGACACTCGTCACCAAGGCTTATCTGCTATCTCGAAGGAACTCATGTCCCCCCTGAGTTTCTAACCCGAATCATCCAGTTCTGCAGTTAGAGACGTTACCACAGAGCTATTCGAATCCCATGCCTGACTGCTTTCTTTTTACTTTTCTGATCTAAGGTGCATATACCGTAAGTCTTCATAAAGGGTTGTCGTTAATTCGACTACGTTTCAAAACATAACGCATGTGTACGACATAACAATCGAAAATACCACGAGGTAGGTGTGCTGCACATGAAATAATCCGTTAGATATACCTTGTTGAACTCTTCAAAAGCTTCCTCAACTGCATTCCAGGTGACAGGTCGTTTATACTTCAAAATCCGGTTGAATACTGAATGGGACAATGTATATACACTAACCATCAATACCAGTTTCAACTAAACACCCGTTTTAGCAGCTATTACAGATTACATACTTATCTCTTAGCGTTTTCGCTTGCATTGGCTGAAATAAGATGAATAATGTGAATGTGGATGAAATTTTTATACACAGTTGTGAACTTGTGCATATACAATGTATTCCATTTAACGGTGATAGTTTGTGTTTCGTATTTTTTTGAAATTTCTGTTATGGTGAGTGACGCTGATGATTTATCAGTATCATCTGAAGAGACGTTCATCGGCTTAAAAACACCAAATAGCAGGGAGATACATTTTATTTCAGAGAAGGCAAATGATACAGCATTGTGGAGAAGTAAAAGAAACACAGCATGAAGACCACAACACGAAGATCTGTGCAAGTAGTGCGTTAAAGATAAGGTATACTTAATTTGGCTATATAGAGATATCAATTTCCAAATAAACATTACTTTAGCAAGTCTTCGTCTCCAACCGTTCCACTATGGGTTCGTACACATTTTAATTATTTTTACGCAATACAAGGTGAATATTTAAGCGTTTCAGCGTGAAGTGGACGACATGTTAGTTGAAAATGTCTATTTTCGGTAGAAGGTTTTTAGCTGATCAGCTAAATTTATTTCGTTAGAAATGAGGAATTGACTCCATACATACTGTAGGTTCAACAGAAAATATGTAGCTTACTTTGTGGCAAATTAGAAAACAGAACATTTTATGTACAGTTTCTACTATGTGTATGGATCTCGATTGGAAATATAGTAATGCTTGTTGTGTTTCAAGAATTTATGCAAGAAATGTACTCTTCATTTACTAAGGGGCTTAATAATGTTTATAAAGCCGTCTGGTGAAACAGG